TAAGATTCGTTTCTTGAATTACAATTATATCCAGTTTGTATGATTTAATTAATGTCAATGTTTTTTGTTGTTTTTCATGGTCATTTAGCCCTTTTACGTTTAGTGTAACTATAAAAATTTTTGGGCTTTCTGTCATAGGATAAGATAAGATTTGTTTATTGTAAAGTGGCTTTGCACCCACCTTTGCCCTTTTGGTATGGGGTAGATTCTATGATATTCTGATTTGACCTGCTTTTAGTGATTTTTCTATTATTTTTCTTCTTATTAGATACTGTAATAAAGCCTTTATCATTTATATTAGGTGGAGTATTTTCTTTCTCATTTGTGTCAGACTTTTGTAAAGCAAAGGTTTGAGCTGGATCCTCTATTGTTAGCTCATCTCTTGGAGCTTTATTGAGCAAAAGTTGATTTTCTACCTCTTCTTAGATGTAGAAAGATTTTAGCTTGTCATCAGTTTCATCATTCTTCTTAGTTACCTCTTCTGTATATATCATCATTGTATCAAGATTAGTTAGGTTTTCAGCATTCTCCTTGGGGTTTTCTTCCAAGTTTGGAACAGAAATGTTTTTTTTTGGAAGTTCCTCTTGTACTTCAGTTATTGTTGGTTCTTTCTGCAAAGGTAATATAGGGGTCTTTTGTAGTGGGCTGCTTATTGATCTCTCCTCTCTTGTTTTTCTAACTTCTTCTCTAAATTTATGATAATGATCCCAAAGTCTGAGTGATTCTTGAAGTTGTTTACATTCCTTCTTAATATAACCCTCTTGATCACAGAAGAAGCAAATTTTTGGAGCTGATTTCTATTCTGTAGTGACCTTAGTGTCACCAACCTGGGTAAATTGTGGGATTTTACTCTTTAGGTTTGGGTCATCTGTGTTTTCAAAAATGACAATCTATTGGTCTGTTAAATAAGGAGTGCCTTCAATCAAAAGAGGTTTAATAGAGGAGATATCGCCTATATCTTCAAAAGCCTCTTAGATAAGGCCAGAGATTTGGTTTTTGTCACCAAGTAGTACATTTCTAATTTTGACTGGTAAGAAGGATTTGCGAGAATCTGTTGGGATGTAGCCATAGTAGGTTTTATCTAAAATTATTACCCCATTACTAGCATATTCTTTGAGTAGGTCTTAGTTCATGAAAATAATTTCTAAATAAGAGCAGGCGCCTTTTTTAAGATGTTGCTTAGCAGCAATAACTTTGTCTTTAACGTTTTTAAAAAGTGAGGACATTATTTCATTAAAAGAACAATGAATTCTTAAGATATCAATAATTAGAGCATTATCATTCTTGGATTTAATTTGCTCTCTTGGAGAGAATATTGAAAAGGTAGATTGGCCTCTTTTTAGCTTTGGGAAGAGATTAGACCACTGTTTAAGTGGGGCTTTATCCCGAGTGGTTTCTTGTCTTAGTTTATTAGTTAGAACATATATGTATGGGTTCACAGGAGGTTCAGGACTTTTAGGTGGTGTTTCCATGTGACTTGATGATGCAGAACTTTCTGGAATCTTTTCAGACATGTGCGTCACTTTGTTGTTTTGTTTACTCAGTTCTGTTTTTTGTAAAGACATGTTTGAATTCAGCCAAGGGTTTTCTTGAGATACAATATCATCCCAACTTTCCTTGCTAGTAGTTAACTTATATTTCTTTATATCTTTAGTGGGGTTTGTGAGCAAAATACTTGAGTTTGGTTTAGGTTCTGTAAGTTGAAGACTAGAAAAGTCTTTAACCTTGACTTCTTTGTTAGAAGAATCCATAATTTTGTATTTTTTATTTGGTTGTTTTTGAAGTAAAGCTTTTGTGGCCTTTCTTTTTGCTGGAACAAGAGCTTTAGTTCTTGTTATTGTTGAACTGTTTGGGTTTTTACTCCTAGATATATTGGGTATTTTGTCCGTTTAATATTTTACTCTTCCTGCCTTATGTGTACAGAAAAAAGTTACTATAGATCTTTTTTTTATAATTGAAAGTTGAAATTTTATAATTCGATTACATATACTGTATTTGAAAGTAATCAAGATTCAATCTGGATAAGTCTTAAAGTTGGTAATTTTGTAGATTTGCTTGAAAAGACCAAAGGTGTTGCATATGCTAAAATTGTGTTGATTTTTTGGCATCAAGCAAATAATGGTCAATATCATGCATTTTTTTTATTTAATTGGTTTTAGGCAACGAACAACCTCGATTCTATATCAGGATATCCAATTTATCATATTCAAAAGCCTGAAGAATCATATTGGGCTAGAATCTTTCTAATTAATTTTATTGATCATATTCCTTATGTACATTTTATACACAATTGTACAAATACATGTATTAGTAACAGTGAGCATGATGAGACCAATCGAAGCCATATTTTAAATAAGTTTTACTATAGTGCTGTATGAATTAAATACGTAGTGCAAAAAATTATATATTTTATGTGTTTTTGTAGCGCATTAATCGCTATAACGATCTTTTTTATTTCAGTATATATAGTACAGTACATTTGTAAATTTCTTTTTGTCAACTATCTTGTACTTTCTATTTTTCTTTGTGAAATGAAGATATAACAGAAGCATGACTCTCTCTATACAGAACTAATATAAATTTTTAAAAAATTTTGGTTCATTGATTATAAAAAGGTGAGTTTAATAAGTATATAGAGTTTCGGATATAAGGTCTAGAGGTTGAAACTAGTGAATTTTGAGTATTCATTGATCCCAAACTTTCGAATTTCGAGCATTAGTGAAAAATTTTAACCGATATTTGAATGTTTGATGAATTTTTAAATATTATCAATTGTACTATCAATACATTTTTAAATATAATTTAGGGAATTGCTATTTCCACCATGGTAATTTGCTATTTCCACCATGATCTATACAAGATTTTCCATTTTTTCTATTTTTAGTATTTATATAGTAAAAATTAGTTTTTTAAAAATTAAAGAAGTTTTTAATAAATAAACATT